CAACCCACCTCCTGCACTCCCGCGCCTGGGCCACTCACCCCCTTTCCCGGATCGTCCCGTTTCCAGCCACAGAGACCCTTTCTCCCACTGGGGACACAGATCGGGCTCTATTCCTCGTGTCTGGTGAGAGTCCCCCCGCCCCGGCCCCCACGGCGCTGCCCTGGGTTGGAACTGCGTGCACTAGACAGACGACAGGGCTGTGCAGGGACACGCACGCAACTGCGGCCGAACCCCAAGTGCAAACCTAACCAGGACTCCCACCCCGCTGCATTTGCGTCGCTCCCCAACTATCCCCATGTAACCCTGTCCACCTGCTTCTCTCCTCACACCGTCATCGCCAGACCCAACCCAGTCTACCAGTCTATGGAAAACTCTGGCCCATCCACACTCCGGAGGGCACAGAGTATTTCCAGGTTTATAAGACACGAGAAGAAATGCCCAGAGTTGAATGCCCGGTGAACCCAGCCCTCAGCACTCCACCCTAATTTTTGCTACAGAGCTTAATGTATTTGCTGTATACAGTATTAAGAAAAACCCTTTCAGCAAACTGGACAGAACTTCTGGAAGGGTTCTCAGCAGCCTAAAGAACTCTTGTCAGAGAGTAGCCATGGTTGAGATGGAGCATGCTTTTTGTTGGAAGGGCTATCTTGGAACACTCAAATGTTTCATTAAATGTGCACTTCTTCCTTCACTCCCTGACTTGTTTGCTTTCTGTCTTTGAGTCTAGCAAAGTGCCTGTACAATACTTCCTTGCTAAATTGAACAGTGCAGTATAGATTCCTTGCTAAAGCTTTTCCTGATCGGTGTCAGAAATGAGAGCCAGCAGCAATGACTGCTGGCCAGCTAGCTGCTGTGTTCGCCATGCTTGTACAGAGAGAGGATGTGACACACAGAGAAACCGCTTATCTGCCTGTAGGACAGGGGTTCCAACTCCTGACCTGGGTTCCTATCTAGGAAAATATTCCTTTTCCTCTCTATGATCATAACATATATGAAAGAACTAACACGTATCTGTCACACAGATTTTGTTTTCATGTTTTTAAATATGCCATCTGGTGGGAGGAAACAGTTAATGTTACAGTATTTGTCTAACATGTGGGAGGTCCTGGGCTTTATCTCCAGCCCCACAAAAGAAAAATAAAAGTCATCAGCTTTAGCCTCACAACTGTCTCAATAAGCAGTATCCTCCTTTGGGCTGATAATTCAGTCCATGCAGAATAATGCATGACTTTTGAGGACCACAGTTTGGTACCTTTGGCGGCCAGTGTCACACAGTTAGTGATGAGCAATGACTCTGGTGCTAGTATATTATTCTTCCTTCCTGGGATGAGGGTCTGTAAAAGCCACCATTCCCATTTGGTATTCTGACTTCAGCGGGCTCAGAAAACGGTGAGTGAGTGGTTGGTTTGTTTCACTGCAATCTCTGAGATGTCATCGTTGATACCTGACAGGCAATGCTCCATTTTTGTACATTGTCTATGCTCCTGAAAAGTTGATTGGGATCGACATTTTTGTAAAGCAAATCCATTTTTGTATATTCTAAAAGGAGATCTAGCTATTTAAAGAGACTCTTTAGTGGGGGGAAAAAGTTGTCTTGTAAAGCAAAGACTCTTTCCATAAGTATATTTAACTCTCAGTAGTCTGTTTTCCTGGTTGGAAGAAGTATTGGGCTTTCCTAGAGGGAAACAAACCATCACAACATATTATAGTGTGGTTGTAATCTATATGAAACAGGGCTCTTCTTGTATACCAAGCTTCTAGGACATGTCATGAAGCTGACACTGTTCTTATCCTTTTGTTACAAATGAGCCATCTGTTACACCAACCGTGCTAAAAGTGTCTGTGCCATTTTACACAACCTATTAAAAGACAAGGTCTTACCCTAGAGAATGAATCTTTTGCAGGAAATGAATGTGACTTAAAAGACAATGGTATTTAACAGGAAGTGATTTAAGTAGATTAAAGACATACATTTTCAGGTCAAGAGCTCTGTATATTTTCTCCCTCTTTTCTTTCAAAGATAGGCTGTAGATTTGTAATTTCTCTTGGCTTGTACATAGACTGAGATGTCATTGGTTGGTATGATTCAAGCACAAGTAACAAGCTCCTCCCTCTTGCACTGCAATATTTTGGTCCCACTGAGTTGCCATATTATTTTTGGCATGACTAGCAAAGCTTCTACACAAGAAGTTGTTCTTACTGTACCCACCACTTCCAAAGAGTCAGGTCTGTTCAGAGTAACAAAACCAAGAAGTTTCTAAGATTCTCAAAGTCTTCCCTTCATGGAAAATAGATATTGAAACGTAAGTACTATGTTTAGGGCCAAACACCCCTATATAAATCCAACCTCATTAGGCCTCAGGCAAAGGAGAATGCAGAAATTAAAGACTGCTGACATAACCTAGCCAAATCCTAGGAAATCCATCCAGCAATCCTTGAACATTTGTGACCATTGTTTTCTACCTGTGATATTGCTGAAATAACATGGATCACAAAGGTAGCTACTGAAATATTCTGTTATAAATGATCATACATAAGTATGAGAAATAGTCTCACACTCCTTTTCGGTATTTGCTACATTTCAGTTCCACACTTCAGTAGAAATACAGGCAGGAAGAATTTTGGTAAATGCTCTCTTATGGTAACAACTGAGAAAGAAACAATCTCAGAGAACATGGTTCCACAGGTAGAGTCTTTAGAACTAAGAACATATGTGGAAAATTTCCAGGTGATCTTTTTTTCATAAAAGATGTGGTTGGGGTGGGAGAGGATCACTGAGAACATTTCTTCTGAAGCCCAGTCCAATTTAGGATGGACTCAGGCATGGTCCTTGCTAATTCTGAAAACTGGGATGACTCATAAAGTATTTGTGAGCCTCGGTTGCTGCTTCTATAACATGGGAATAACAAGTTTCGTCTCCATCGCATAATGTAAAGATTTTTAACATATGTGGAAATTTCCTATCACCTAGAAGGCTCTCTGTAAATGGAAATTCTTACATTATTCAATGTAGAGCAAGATTTTAATCCCCTCTCCCGCCCCCACACCTCCTCCAAACTTCCCATTTTCTTCCTTTAAAGGGTTTATGTCACACAGAGGAGACATAGATGAAGGGGAACACACAGGGGCTCTACATAGAATTTGTGGATTACTTCTAATTGTGGAAGTATGATAGCAAGGCTAGCCAATAAAAATCAACCTTTGCCCAGCTTCAATACCGAAGTTATATATGGAAAGAGGCCACTGAAACACTCAAAGTTGATGAGGGGTGAGAAAAGGAAGCAGAGGTTATTTTTTCTCTAATATTGGTTTACTCAAAGAATTAGAAGCATGGATTTATTTTCTGTAAGTAACTTTATATCATTATTCAATAATGAAACCAAAAATCAAAAAACAACATATATTCTACAGTCTAAGTTATTATTCTAGTTTCACAGGATATACTTTGTCACAATACTGCTATGTACAGCGTAATATATTAATACTTAGGAATTTGATCCAATAATCCAAAGAGGCTGACATTCCCCCTCTTTTAATGAGAGGGAAAAAAAGTAAACCCTCGGGATTATTATAGTATCACACTTCACAAGAACACATCATGCTCTGAGATTAGCGCTTTCCAGCAAGGGCATTAAAATGTAATACAATGCAATTCATTATTAAATCAGGTATTATGTCAACAGGAGCTCATTTGTTTCTCATAACATTAACACAATCCAAAATTATCTCCACATCTGTCACTCTTGATTAACAATAACACATTGCCATCAACGTCTCTAACCTCACCTAGGAATTAATCCACTAGAATTGAAACGAGGGGAAGAACTGAAAATCTATTGTTCTTCCCAGACCTATAGTAAGCTGCCATTTCAATAGCAACCAGGTAGAGAAGAGACAGAAAAGAAGCTGTAGATTCTAATGATGGAATGACCCAAGCATACCTCTATCATAATGGGTATGTAGGGGAATTCCCAAAGTGTACATGTAGAGGAATCAAGTTAGATTTCTCTCTATACCCTCTAGAGTAGATGCATCATAACTGAGATCACCCGTATACTTCCATAAGTATCTTTTTGCCTCTTTCAAATGTATATACAAAGCAGATAGA